GCCCTGCTCAGGGCCAAGGCCTTGAGGGTGGTGGGGGCGGCGGGGGGAGGTTCTGTTTTCTGAGCCCCATCTCATTTGCATATATGTGATTGATTAAATCATTGGCCACTGGTGATTGAGCTCAATGTCTAACCAAGAACCAGGAACAACCAAATACTCTTTCACACTCCCTATCCCAGCCCTCAGCGTCTGCTCAAGACCCCAAACTGCCTCCCACGTAGCCAATTTTTCATCTGCCCTGCCTGGGTGGCTCAGGTGGCTTAGCCTGTAGTCTTCTTTCAGTGAACTCTTCTTCACGTCTCAAAACCCTTGCCAGCAGCCCCCTCATCTGGGGAGCCTGTCTTGCAGGGGCCCTGCCTGTGAGTTCTCACCCACTGGGGACAGGGGTGTCCCAGTCCACTCCAACTCCCTCAGACTGGGGCCCCTTCAGGGTGAGGCCTGGACCCAGAGTCTTAAGCCCTCATCCTCCAAGGTCAGGCCCTGTCTCTTGCAAACGTTCCCAACTATCCACCTTTTGGGCCAGTTCCAGTGGTGGAAACTTTCCGGCCTCCAGGCGCTTGTTTTGGAAAGTTCCTGGGGGAGCTGCCCCGGCCTGCCCGCTGGGTTCCCACGCTCTCTTATCAGCAAGCATGAGGGGGGCGCCCTGCTGTGCAGGCCTCATTCCTCCCCTGCCTGGGCCCTGCCCGCCTGTGCGTCCCCTCCCCTTCCCAGCGAACAACCTCCCCCTCCGGTCCACCCCTGCCAAGCCCTGCTGCAGGTGGGGAAACAGGCCAAACAGGCCCCATCCTTGTGAGCCCCGTGGGGACAGAGTAACTTTGTCCCCTCTGAGATGGATGGGAGCGGACATGGGGAGCCAGGGGATGGGACTGCCTGGTAGGTGCTGCTGCCCACGAAGGGGGAGTAGGTGGCAGCGTGGCTCCGAGGAGATTCTGGCTTTGAAGTTCTGGTCCTCTGCCTGTTTCCCCTGCAGTGTCTCTGACCCAGAACTCCTACCCCCCCACCCAGAGGTCCAGATTCCCTGCCCAGCTCCACTCCATGGCTTATGGCTGGGCTCGTGCCTCATTGTCCTCTTGTAAAGGGGGAATAGGCAGCCATGCGCCCCTGGGGGCTGCGGAGCGAGCAAGGTGAACCTATACGCGCCGCGCTCGTGGACGCCCGGCCACTTCCGCCAGACGAGGACCCGATGGCCACGATGGCTCTGCGTTGTCGGGCCTCGAACCGGGTCTCCAGACATTGGGCCCCTCCCCCCAACGCGGGAGAGGCGGGGAAGGGGGCGGGGCGGGGGCGGGGCCGCAGCGCTTTTCTCCGGAGGTCGCGCGCCCGAGAGCCCGCGCTGTTAGCCACCGCTGCCTGAGTCGACTCTGCGCCGGTGAGTGCGGTTCGGGGCGGGGATGGCCTCCCTGGGCACCCAGGCTGGCTTGGCCCGGCCACTTAGAGTCCCCGCTGACCCCCCTGCTCACCCCTGGACTCCAGCCCGCAACGATGGAGGCCGCCGCCCAGTTCTTCGTCGAGAGCCCGGACGTGGTCTACGGCCCCGAGGCCATCGAGGCGCAATACGAGTACCGGACGACGCGCGTCAGCCGCGAGGGCGGCGTCCTCAAGGTGGACCAGGGGGTTGGGGAAGGGGGCATGCTAGGGAGAGCGGGGCGGCGCGGGGAGAAGCGCATGGGACCCGGGGTTCACTGCGCGGCCTGTCTCCAGGTGCACCCCACGTCCACGCGCTTCACCTTCCGGACCGCCCGGCAGGTGCCCCGGCTTGGGGTCATGCTTGTCGGCTGGGGCGGGAACAACGGCTCCACACTCACTGCCGCGGTGCTGGCCAACCGGCTGCGTCTGTCCTGGCCCACG